TACATAATCTAAACAAGCCAGACAACCAACAACTATATAGCTTACGCAGTTCTTAATCTAACAGAGCAGACAACAACACACTTAAGCCTTACCATTCTAATCTAAGCAGCAGACAACAACTCACTATAAGCTTACATATTCTAATCTAACAGCAGACAGACAACACACTATAACTTAGCCATTCTAAATCTAACAGCGGCAGACGAATCAACCACCTATAAGCTTACCTTCCTAATCTATACAGGCAGACAACAACCATTATAAGCTTACATATTCATAATCTAACAGGCAAGCGCAACAACCACTATATAGCTTACCATTATTCTAATCTAACAGCAGCCGCAACAACGACTACAAGCTTATTACCCTTTCGTCCTGAGGCGAGCTCTGCGCGGAGTCGGACGAGTTCTTGCCACTGCCGACGCTCATCTTGTCTCCGTCGCACAGGCTGTCGGACGGCGCGAACGACTGCAGTGAGATGCCGGAGTCGCTGAACTGCCGCTGATGTCCGTAGCCCATCGTCATGAACTGGAAGTTGAGGCGTTTGCGCGAGCGCGCGTCCTTCGTGTTGGATGTCGGCGCGGGCGGCTCGATGTGACACGACGTCTCGAAGCTGTAATGTGTAGAAAATAGCGTATATATAAATGTGTAGATATGTGCGTAGATCTACAGAGCGTAAGCGAGTTGTGCGAGGTAGGGGGTAGAGAGAGAAAGAGAGAGAGAGAGCGGGCGTGAGCGAGAAAGAAGAGCGAGTAGAGAGAGAGAGAGAGAGAGAGAGAGAGAGAGAGAGAGAGAGAGAGAGAGAGAGAGAGAGAGAGCGAGAGAGAGAAGAGAGAGAGAGAGGAGAGAGAGAGAGAGGGGAGAGGGAGAGAGAGAAAGCGCGCGCGTGAGAGAGAAAGGAGAGAGACAAAGGAGAGCGAGGGACAGACAGAGAGAGAGAGAGAGAACAGAGAGAGAGAGAGGGGGGGGGGCGGGGGGGGGGGGGGGGGAGGGAGGGAAAGGGAGGTAGGAGAGGTGAGGGAGGGAGTGAATGCGTGCGTGGCGGTCCTCCGACCCCGCCCGGCGTCCTTGATATGTGTCGTGATGGCAAGCGCCTCTACGTGACACGATATCTCGCAATTAATCAGCTGCAAATTAATGTAGAGACCGTGCGTGACAGTCAGCGATGGAGATTAAGGAATGTGTGTGCGCGCGTTCGCATGTGTGCGTGCTTGCCTACTTGCGTGCGTTCGTGTGTGTTTGCTTGCGTGCTTCCGTGCGTTCGTGTAAGGTTGCTCGCGTGCTTGCGTGCGTGCGTGCTTCCTGCGTGCTTGCCTGTGTGCGTGCGTGCGTGCGTGCGTGCGTGTGAGCTTAGTAAGAGACAGGTATAATCGATAAAGATGATTTGCGTGCGGTGCTTGCATTCCTGCGTGGCGATTGCCTTGCGTGCTTGCGTGCGTGCGTGCAGGCGTGCATGCATGCGTGCGTGCGTGCGTGTGAGCTTAGTAAGAGACAGGTATAATCGGATAGAGGTGATCACACGACCCAATGATTACACGTAACGAGCACCTGCACGCCAGGCTGAGCAATGACACTGTCACCGAACCAGTCAACAAACGATAAAGCGCAATGATAAAGAGAAGATAAGAAACCAAACGAAGTGTTAAATAATACGATACATCGGACTGTCAGTTGGTTGGTATTGAAGCACTTGTAGTACATACTACACAGGCACCAGTACTGTAGTGGAGCTCCATGCTCCCCTTCTCCCTCCCTATCTCCCCCTTCTCTGTCTCTCCGTCCCTCCCCTCTTTTTTCTCGCGTCTCCCTCTTTTCTCTCTCCCTATCTCCCCCTTCTCTATCTCTCGCTCCCCTCCCCCTCTTTTTTTCTCCCTCTCCCTCTTTTCTCCCTCCCTATCTCCCCCTTCTCTATCTCTCGCTCCCCTCCACCTCTTTTTTCTCCCTCTCCCTCTTTTCTCTCTCTCTATCTCCCCCTTCTCTGCCTTTCGCTTCCCTCTCACTTTTTCTCCCTCTCCCTCTTTTCTCCGTCCCTATCTCTCCCTTCTCTATCTCTCGCTCCCCTCCCCTTCCCCTTTTCTCCCCTCTCCTGCTGCTCATCCCTCGCCTATCCCTCGCTTGCCTGTATTTGCTGTTCCACTCTCTTTTTCCTCCCTCTCCCTCTTTCTTCCCTCCAATATTACTCCCCTTCGCTATCTCTCGCTCCCCTCCCTTCCATTTTTTCTTCCCTCTCCTCGCTCTCTTCTCCCCCCTATCTCCCCCTTCTCTGTATTTCGCTTTCCTCTCTTTTTTTCTCCTTCTCCCTCTTTTCTCCCTCCCTATCTCCCCCTTCTCTATCTCTCGCTCCCCTCCCCTCCCTTTTTTTTCTCCCTCTCGCTCTCTTCTCCCTCCCTATCTCCCCCTTCTCTGTATTTCGCTTTCCTCTCTTTTTTTTCTTCCTATCTCTAATTCTATTTCTGTCCTTACTATCTCCCCCTTCTCTATTCTCTCGCTGCGCCCTCCCCTCCCCTAATTTTTTTCTCCCTCGTCGCTCTCTTTGCTGGCCTCCGCTATCGTCCCCCTTCGTCTATCTCTCCGCTCACTTCCCCCTCCCATTGTTTTTCTCCCTCTCGCTCTCTTCTCCTCCACCTCCCTATCTCCCCCTTCTCTGTCTTTCGCTTCCTCTCTCTTTTTCTCCCCTCGCTCTTTCTCCCTACCCTAATCTCCCCCTTCTCTGTCTTTCTTCTTCCCTCTCTTTTTTCTCCCTCTCGCTCTCTTCTCCCTCCCTATCTCCCCCCTTCTCTATCTCTCGCTCCCCTCCCCCTCCCCTTTGCTCTCTCGCTCGCTCGTCTCTCTCCCTATCGCCCTATCTGTCCCTTCTCTGTCTCCGAGCATGTTTGCACATCACAAAGATGCCGACGTCTGCTAAATGCAGATTGCCGAGCGAGCGCGCGCAACGCAGCGAGTCTCGCGGCCACTTTATACTCGCGCGCGAAATTCACTTTACGTCGCCGATCGGGAGACGACGCTGACGCCAACGCCGACGACGACCAGGGGCTAGCAGGGACGACTGCTCGCGAAAGGGCGTGTGAGCGCCTGCCTGAGTAGGTCTACTACTCTGAGTCGTCTGCCTAGTCTGCCGTCCGGTAGAACGGAGAGACCGTGCGTGTGTGTGATGATGACGATGCGCATGCGCAGTCGTGCTGCCCGAGAGAGCTACTGCTGGTGCATGCACGTACGTGAGGCCGGTGGTGCGAGTGGGGGCGGATAGCGCGAGAACAAATAAATACGCAGTTATGACGATTAAGATAATCTTAAAGAGAGTACGAGGAGGAGGAGGAGGAGGAGGAGGAGGAGTAGGAGAAGGAGGAGGGGGAGGGGGGTGCTTTCAACAAAATTGAATATAGTAGTGCCTGGGAGCAGGGGATAATTTTATGAGCTGCGAGGTAAAATCTTAATTATGTTAATTATATTGAATTTGCAAGCGTCTGCAAGCGTGTGCGAGTGCGTGTGTGTGCGTGCGTGTGTGGTATATGTCGTGCGAGCGTGGCATACGCATTCTTTGCATGTGCGTGTGAGTCCATTTGCGGACGTGTGTGTGTAATGGGCGCGCGAGCGTGTGCGCGCAGTGCGTGTTATCGCGAGCGTGCTGTGCGTGTATGTAATATCTGTCACTTACATGTCCAGTCCACTGATTTATTAGGGATAATACGGCCTATAGTATTGCGCGTAGTTTGGGGGCTTTAACGACGAGTAAGTCCTTAGCTGCCATTTATAGCCATCCGGCATAATACATGTTATATTGGCAATTCTCTGCGACGATCCGCAATCGTAACGAGAAAAACTTAGATGACGAGTGACGATGAGCCTATAGACGTGAATCTTTCCGCAACGTTTCGCTCTGAACGACGGACAATAATTCCGATCAGCATTTCATGTAGTTCCGATACTATATTACTAGCTGAATATTTTAATCTAAAAGGAAATATAATAAAAACGACAAATAATTGTAGTCTCACAGCGGCAAGAACCGCTAGAGGTCGCTCAGCGTAGTAAGTAGGCCCCGCGCCAGCAGGTACAGCTTGCTTCTAGAGTACAGACTTTACTCATTATATACGTTTAATTGTATATATATAGTATATATATATATATATAATATATATATAATATATATATAATAATAAGTATATGTTGTGTGTGTGTGTGTGTATGTGTGTGTGTGTGTGTGTGTGTGTGTGTGTGTTGTGTGTGTGTGTGTGTAGGTGGTGTGTGCGTGCGTGCGTGGCGTGTCAAGTGGTGCGTGCGTGCGTGCGTGTGTGTGTTGTGTGTGTGTGTGTGTGTGTGTGCGTGTGTGTGTACGTGCGTGTGTGTGTGCGCGTGCGTGGTGCGTGTGCGTGTGCGCGGTGTGTGTGTGTGTATGTGTGTGTGTGTATGTGCGTTGTGTGTGTGCGCGTCGCGTGGTGCGTGTGGCGTGTGCGTGTGCGTGTGCGTACCTGCATGCCTGCCGCGTGGCGCCTGCGTGCGTTTGTGCGTGCCTGCCTGCCTGCATGCGGCGCCAGTGCGTGCATGGCACAATAGTATATTTTCTGGCAGAGTCATGTACCTTATCGTCTCGAGCGCAGGCGGTACGGAGTTCCACAGCGTCGGTAAGCGAGCGTCGGCGCCGCATGTGTACATGTTTGGCGGCAGACTGGCAGCAGCTTGATCTGCGCCAGCACTTCGAACTCCTTGGGTCCGCCTTCTGCGAAGTTGATCATGCCGCCGTTCGACGATGTCCGGGAGGCTGCGTCGATCATCGCCCAAGGTCCGTGAGGACACGTGCCTAGGTAACGTGCATCCGTCCCTGGCATCGACGCCATCTGCAAACGGAAGCATGGCGGTGTTACGTCACCCGCTACGCAGCTGCACTACGCATAGAACTACTATATGGGGGGGGGGGAGAAGTATGCACTGTGACAGAGTGAGAGGATATATATATTATATATGATATATATTATATATTATATACAATAGGAATTAAAATATTAGGTAATAAACGTATAGCTTCTGTAAATAGACGGACTGTGGGTATCCCATTGGCGCGCGGTATTAACTGGCTTGCGGCGGACGAAATCGCCAGATAAGTGCAAACCACGAAAAGCAGTTTAGAGACGCATGAGAGAGAGAGAGAGAGAGAGGAGAGAGAGAGAGAGAGGAGGGAGAGAGAGAGAATGAGAAGAGAAAGACACGAGAGAGAGAGATGAAAGAAAAGGAGAGAGGCCCGTGGAGACGTAAAGAGGAGAGAGAGAGAGATGAGAAGAGAGAGAAAGAGAGACGGGAGAGAGAGAAAAGGAGAGAAGGAGGAGAGAGGGAGAGAGATAGAGACAGAGAGAGAGAAAGAGAGAGAGAAGAGAAGAGAGGAGAAGAGAAGAGAGAGAGAGAAAAGAGAGTGGGTGCACGATGTTAGTCACACAGTTAAGAATTACACCTAAGCTACTCGTTAACCCAGGACGGTACGGGCCAGGAACAGCGGTTAACATAAGCAGACCGACACCGGGCAGTGCAGCCGGCCGAGGGAAGTAGCATGACATCACTAACACGCAGTTCGGGGGAGCAGCAACAGCAGCAGAAAACAGGAAACAAAGGAAAGTTGGCGGTACGCCCATTGGCCTAAGGATCCGAGGTCGCACGCGGACGTTGGGCAGCAATAAGATAAGACCGAATTTAAGCAGAGTGAAGAAGATAAGAGTGTGGCTGGACCAGCCGTGCCGACGCTAAACAAGACTCCTCGCGACGAGATGGCATATACGATAACTATGTTTTTTTTGTATTTAGTTGATTGTAATAGACTGTTTAGAATTGTGTTAGAGTAAAATGGTATATGAATTGCGGACGGCGACGTATTGTGGGTTAATAAATAGTTTTAGCGTTAATGGCAGTAGATGTGTGCGGAGCATGATTTAATGCGAGACTGTTTACGGGTAACGACGGTAGTAACAGCGATTGTAGGCAAGCGCTGGTATGTGCATTAGAATACATGACGAAATCGACCAACGAAGTGGGGTGTTTTGGGATTGAAGTGTACGGTAATGGGGCATATTAATTAATAAATATTATGCGTGTGTGTATCATATAAATTTACTGTGTTGCGTTTGTTAATATCAGCGGACTGGTTTTTTATATCCTCGAGCCGGGTTAATCCCTCACGATAGGTACTAAAAAGAGATACGATCACGCACCGTCAACGCGTGTGGCTTAAATTAAAGAAGCACGTGGTGACATAAAATGGTGGCCGTGACCAGATATAAAATCTTCAGTCACGTGATACTAGCGCTAAAACGCAATGAGTGAACTTAATCCGATTGTTTTCCAGCAGTTAATGGCACATCCCGTTTCAGAAATCACAGGCCAGGTTAAGCGGGTTGTAGGATTTTGAGGTAAAGCTGTTTTGGAGAAACTGTTTTTAGAGGCTCTGGGCGTACGATGGCGCAAGAGATAAATATGGGTATTGTTTCAGATTATGGGAGCAAGTCGCTAGTCTGGGGCGGTAGTAAGGGAGATAAGCAGATTGAGATGAAACTACAGGGATACGAACGAGAAAAATAGGAAATTTCACGAGGCGATGGTGAAGGTATGAAGCAATGAAATTTACGGAATAGAGAGGCAGTTAGAGGAATATGCGGCTCGGCTGGGGCAAATGCAGATTTAAAAGAGGTGGCGATGACGACGGCAGGGGCCGGCAATACGATTTTTGGCATCCGACAAACAAGGAAAGATATGCGGCCGATACGGGGCGAGGAGCTAATAGAGGCTGATGAGGGACAGATTCGGGATTCAGTTCGAAAGCCGGCCTAAGCTGCGAGACAGGATTTGAAAAGGATCACGCAGAGGCGGTACGAGAACGATCCTAGGAGTTTAGAGCGCATCGCCAGGTATATAGTACGGCCTTACCCGGTGAGAGATAGGACACGCTCGGATGCGAGGGAACTTTAGTGGAATCATTGTATAGATGGATTGGCTAAGAAGGCGAATTAGAAGAAAACTATATTGCACAGAACCCCGATACCCTAAAGCAGCGCGCAAAAATAGCGGAGAAGAGTACAGATTATACAGAGAGGGTAGCATTGAGGAAAGGATAAGTCCCAATGAAGTAGATAGCGTCAGCGGCAAGGGAAGGGAAAGGTCATATTGAGCGCAGATGTAAAGAGGTAAGGATGTAAGGAGGCGTATGATAATAGCCTGAGAATCGATAGACCGCAGGCTCGCTCGGCCATTCGCCTAGGCCGAGACCGCCAGCACAGAGGGAAAATTAGGCCCAGCGAGGGGAATGGGGGGAGAAACCGCGCCACGGCCTGACAAGTTATGCAGGCGGGCGGCCCGCAGCCAGAGAGCGAGAGCAGCCGATGCAGGGTTACTCGCAATATAGATGGAATCACTCAAGGGCAAGCCGTTTATGCGCTAGTGTAACGCAGCCGAGAGCATATGTGGAAGACAGTGCGCAAGGGCATTTAAACCCGCAGACCCCTGTACTGAAAGCAAAGAAGGTGCAGAACAGGGCAGCCGACAAGGTTTTTCCTTCCCTCAGAAGAAAATGTCGTAACAGTACTCAGAAGAATCGCTTTGGCCGTTATGGTCCGACGGTGATCAGGCACAGACATCGGGAGTATACAGCGATTAATGCTCTGTTTAGACACTGGTGCAATGTTTGCCTAGTTTCAGCGAACGTCTGGAGCAGATTACCGGAGGCCAGAACAGACGAAGGATGAGAAAGGTTAGCATAAGAGAAACTTATTACTGAAACAGCCGACGGCCGACATTAAGGCATAGCGGGGTTAGCAGATATTTTGCTAAGCGATAGGAAAAGTGTCTACGTGCGAGTAGAATGCGTTATCTACCGAAGGGTTACAGCAAGATTTGTTTGATGTTAATTATATTATTTGCACGTCTGCAAGCGTGTGCGAGTGCGTGTGTGTGCGTGCGTGTGTGTATATGCGTGCGAGCGTGCATACGCATTTTTGCATGTGCGTGTGAGCGTTTGCGGACGTGTGTGTGTATGGGCGCGCGAGCGTGTGCGCGCGTGCGTGTATGCGCGAGCGTGCGTGCGTGTATGTAATATCTGTCACTTACATGTCAGTCACTGATTACTCAGGGATAATACGGCTTAGTATTGCGCGTAGTTTGGGGGGCTTTAACGACGAGTAAGTTCCTAGCGCCATTATACATCCGGCATAATACAGTTATATTGCAATTCTCTGCGACGCGAAATCGTAACGAGAAAACTTAGATGACGAGTGACGATGAGCCAGTAGACGTGAAATCTTTCCGCAACGTTTCGCTCGAACGACGGACAATAATTCCGAATCAGCATTTCATGTCAGTCCGATAGTATATTACTAGCGAATATTTTATCTAAAGGAAAATATAAAACGGACAAATAATTGTAGTCCACAGCGGCAGCGTGTGCGTGTGTGTGTGCGCGTGCGTGTGCGTGTGCGTGTGCGCGTGTGCGTGTGTGTGTGTGTGTATGTGTGTGTGTGTATGTGCGTGTGTGTGTGCGCGTGCGTGTGCGTGTGCGTGTGCGCGTGTGCGTGTGCGTGCCTGCATGCCTGCCTGCGTGCGCCTGCGTGCGTTTGTGCGTGCCTGCCTGCCTGCATGCGCGCGTGCGTGCATCACATAGTATATTTTCTGCAGAGTCATGTACCTTTCGTCCTCGGACAGCAGCGGTACGGAGTTCCACCAGCGTCGGAAGCGAGCGTCGCGCCGCATCGTGTACATGTTGGCGGCAGACTGCAGCAGCTTGATCTGCGCCAGCACCTCGAACTCCTTGCGTCGCTTCTCGAAGTTGATCATGCCGCCGTCGACGATGTCCGGGAAGGCTGCGTCGATCATCGCCAGGTCCGTGAGGAACGTGCCTAGGTACGGCACCGTGCCCTGGATCGACGCCAGCTGCAAACAAACATGGCGGGTGTGACGTCATCACTACCGCAGCTGCACTACGCATAGACTACGTACATGGGGGGGGGGAGACTCGACTCGAATGACTCTGCCAAGTGCGCTCACTTTCAGTTGTAGCCCAGGTGTGGTGGCGGTGAAAACAATCTCCTCCAGTGTGTCGTTATCACGAATGGGTGCTCCGTCGGCTCTTCACTGTCATCGCGCTGTCCGCGATGAGCGTACTTCTTTAACCAGGCCTCAATAACACGCTTGAAATTGTTTGTCCAGGTCGACCTGTGAAGCCTAATGCCTATTGCTTTCAGTGATGCCGGCCTTGTGAATTTCCGACGATCATGATACTTCCTGGGATGCTAAAATCGGTTGGCTTCTCGTGCTGCAGCGGCTGCGTAGATCGTTATCAGTCATGATTCCAACGTAATCTGTAAAAGCATGCTGCGAGACGCTACCCGATGGCATTCTTGCCCTATATACACGCTCCTAAATGTACGCCTTACGTTTTCTGCTTTTCTAATCATTTCATGTATATTTCCTCTATTCTCTCGTTCTATATTTAACGTCAGTTCCCCCCCTTTTTTCTGCTGTTACTGTCTTCTCCTGCTTACTGTTTCTTCCGGAGATTTTCCGTCGAACATTCTCCGTGTGCTGATGCCGTGCTCTCCTCTCTCTGTCATGGCAACGCTCTGAAATTCGCTTGATTTCAGCCCTCCTGTGTCATCTCAGCGTGGCTCCGTGTGTATCCAGTTAGCTCGCATGGCCTGTCTCCACGCCCTGGCCTCCGGTGACGTTTCCCTAGCCCGCTTCCTACCCGTGCCAGCGTTGATGGCAGTTGCCTTTCTGCCCTCGTCGATCCGTGATGTGACGCCCGCGTGATTTTCTTCGTCACGCCACGTATTCCGAACGCTTGTTTCCTCCTGCTCCCCGCCGTTGTATTTTTATCAACGGCGCTTCAATTCGTCGATGACCAACTCTCCTCGCCATCGCTTTGGTTGATAGTATGTTTTGCCCGCCTACTCAGAAATTCTCGTCT